TTAAGTATACTAAAGCCATGTTACATTTTTATCGTATTGAACATTACAAACGTGTAAATTACTGACATGTATGTATATAGATATATTAAAAGATATGTGGACACAATTCTTTCAGAGTTGGTTATTATATATCCCTCCAAATGTAAATCATTTATTAAAAATTCCTTAATTGGGAAAAAGTGCATAGAATGTACTGAATTTTTAGTAGCGAACATTACATGCTTAGGTCATCATCTGGCACAGGCTGTCAAAGTAATAGATAAATTCTTAGAATTTTTCATAAGAAAGATAAGTCTGGCTATAGTAGCATAAATATTTCATTGTAATTTAATGTAAATAAACATATAAATGACTTATATCACTAAGTTATTTTCAGTTAAGTCGACACTTAATTTACAAGTTGCGTACATTACTGATGCTGGTAAATTTCGGTGACAGTTCTAAAACATTTAACACATGACACATCAGTCTTTATAAGTCGGTCACGCTTCGAAAACAGATATACATACAATGGCACAAATTATTTTTTGCCCAAATTGTATTACCTCAAACACCAAAATCCAAAATGGAGACAGTCTCGAACGTTACATTTCCAATAGCTTCCTTTGTAACATTTTGTATCAATGTGACAATTCTGTGTATCAAAAATTTCTCTATTATACTTGTTGCACGTTAGCTATAAAATAGCAAGTTTTTCTGCAAAGAGTATGTCCACAGTGTGCAGCGACATCAATTTCACAATTCGCATGAGAATTAGTGTATAAATAGGTATACAACCCCTAAAGGAAAGAAGGCAGGCCAAGATTCTCCTTCAGGCAGAGAAGTTCAAGTGTATCCCTGATAGCCCCATGAAAACAGACTGGCAGGATATACAAAAAATAGGCTCAAGCGAAACCAGCTTTGTCACTGAAGCCAAGAAACTGGACAGAAAGTTTGCCCCAGAGCTAACAATTCCTACCACTCCCTTGGGCAGAAAAGACATACTAGACACATTGACAAATGACCTGTCTGGCATTAAGGTGAAACTCAATATCCCACAGCTTGAAAGTGGTAAACAAGAATGTGAGAATATCAAAAAGAGTATTGCGCTTGCCATGATCAATGAAGACAACCCTAAATGACAAGTGGACCCATGTCTGCACGGATGGGTCAGCCACAAGAGCAATCAAAGATGGAGGGGTTGGTATTCTCCTTATACACCCATTAGGCCATCAAGTTACACACCATATGGCCACTGGAAATCACTGCAGCAACTTTAGAGCAGAGACTGAAGCACTCATGAAGGCAGTCTCCATGATCATAGACTCTACAGAAGCTGTCTCTTCAGTTGTCTTTCTTACCGACGCACGATCAGTCCTGAAAGCCTTGATCGACAACAAATCACCAGACCTAGCCAGAGAATGAGTGACCTAAGCACCATTTGCAGCATAGCCATACAGTGGATTCCAATTACTGGGAATGAAGAAACTGACCAATTGGTTAAATTTGGAGCACAGTCAGAGCAACCAGATGTCCAAGTCTCATACAAGGAGAAAGTCACCATCATCAAAGCAATAACAAAGCCAAGACAAGAGCCTGATGCATATCACTCTTTGAACCGGCCAGAACAAGTGATGATGGTGAGACTACGTTCAGGACATAACAGACTTTACGCACACATGAACAAAAAGTACTGACTCGTTCAATCCCCAATGTGTCCGTGCGGAGAAGAAGACCAAACTACAGAGCATGTCCTCCAAAGATGTAAGTGACACGACAAGGAGCGAGCTGCGACGTGGCCTCAGGAAACAATCCTTCAAAAGATGCTTTATGGTGATGTTGAGGACCTGAGACGGACCACATCCTTCATTGTATATACTGGCATAGTCGTGTAATTGCGAACGCTAGTAAGTAAGTAAGTGAGTCTATAAATATCCAGCTTAAAATATAGACCAAAAGTACAGAAGCTGTACAGTTCAACTACATCATTGCTTGGCATTTTCATTCCATGGTTATTTGACAAATTGTCATAGATCTCCAAGTTTTTAAGTTTATCAATTTTAGAGAATAAAGTCTTACAAATTTGTAAAAAAAATGTTGGATTGTTTGGTATTATTGGTAATATCATGCCAAACAATATACATGGATGTATATTATATTAAGCTTAAAGTTAGTCAAATTCTAGCAGACAAATTTATCAAAACAAGATATGTTTGTAAAACATGTATGCCCCCTATCAGCAGCCAATTATTCATGTGATAAGGTAATTATGCATGACTTCTGACCCAGTGATCAAACAATTAATAAGGGTTATCAAGTATCTACTGGTCATGACCTTGACCTTTGACCCCTTGACCCAAAACTCAATAGGGGTCATCTGCTGGTCAAGACCAATCATCATACAAAGTTTGAAGTTCCTAGGCCTAAGCGTTTTTAGTTAATTGATCAGAAACCGTTTTTACCTACAAGGTCAATGTGACCTTGACCTTTGACCCCTTGACCCCAAAATCAATAGGGGTCATTTGCTGGTCATGATTAATCACCATGCCAAGTTTGAAGTTCCTAGGCCTAAGGGTTCTTTTATTATTGATCCGAAACCGTTTTAACATACAAGGTCAATGTGACCTTGACCTTTGACCCCAAAATCAATAGGGGTCATCTGCTGGTCATGACCAATCACTATGCCAAGTTTGAAGTTCCTAGGCCGAAGCGTTCTTTAGTTATTGATCAGAAACCGTTTTTACTTACAAGGTCAATGTGACCTTGACCTTTGACCCCTTGATCCCAAAATCAATAGGGGTAATCTGCTGGTCATGAAAAATCACCATACCAAGTTTGAAGTTCCTAGGCCTAAGCGTTCTTCAGTTATTGATCAGAAACCGTTTTTACTTACAAGGTCAATGTGACCTTGACCTTTGACCCCTTGACCCAAAACTCAATAGGGATCATTTGCTGGTCACCACCAATCATCATACAAAGTTTGAAGTTCCTAGGCCTAAGCGTTTTTAGTTAATTGATCGGAAACAGTTTTTACCTACAAAGTCAATGTTACATGACCTTTGACCTCTTGACCCCAAAAACAATAGGTCATCTGCTGGTCATGACCAATCACCATACCAAGTTTGAAGTTCCTAGGCCTAAGGGTTCTTAAGTTATTGATCGGAAAGCAATTTTACCTACAAGGTCAATGTGACCTTGCCCTTTGACCCCTTAACCCTAAAATCAATAGGGGTCATCTGCTGGTCATGACCAATCACCATACCAAGTTTGAAGTTCCTAGGCCTAAGGGTTCTTTAGTTATTGATCGGAAACTGTTTTTACCCAAGAGGTCAATGTGACCTTGACCTTTGACCCCTTGACCCCAAAATCAATAGGGGTCATCTACTGATCATGACCAATCACCATACCAAGTGTGAAGTTCCTAGGCCTTAAGTTTCTTTACTTATTGATCGGAAACCGTTTTTGCTAACAAGGTCAATGTGACCTTGACCTTTGACCCCTTGACCCCAAAATGGCTAGGGGTCATCTACTGATCATGACCAATCACCATACCAAGTTTGAAGTTCCTAGGCCTTAAGGTTCTTTAGTTATTGATGGGAAACCGTTTTTGCTTACAAGGTCAATGTGACCTTGACCTTTGACCCCTTGACCCCAAAATCAATAGGGGTCATCTACTTGTCATGACCAATCACCATACCAAGTTTGAAGTTCCTAGGCCTAAGGGTTCTTTAGTTATCACTCGGAAACCATTTGGTCTACGGACCGACGGACCGACAAGTGCAAAGCAATATACCCCCTTTTCTTCGAAATGGGGGCATAATAAGTCAGTTAAATACAAGTTTATATCTTCAAGAAGGATTTTTTGACGGAGCAGAAGCAAAATGTTCTCTTAATAGAACATATCACAAACCTGTGCAAGATCATGGCAATGGAGAAGGAAATGTTAAACAGTGAAATATTCTCCAATTCACTATCAATTAAGAACTACATGATCAAAATGATTTTGGTGATTTATCAAGACAGGGGTTGATATGATGAAGTTTGTTGGATCCGGCCTTGTCCTAATCTGATTTCCATTTAGATAATATTTGATTACTAATAAAGTATGATTTTAATTTTGGTAAAAATATATCTACTGGCTGAGAATTTTATGATTCAAAATCACAGTTTAAATCCTTTGTTTTTGTAGATATTCTTTATTAACTGAAGTTACAGCCTGTGATATCATCTTAGCTAAAATTTTGCATTTTATTGACTGCATAACTCCTGATAGGGCCCCACAGAGATGACGTAGCTCATTACTTATGCAGATTCAGAACGAGGCTTTGACTTATGTAGTGAACGGTTGCAAAAATTAGGGTCCGATTAAAAAGATAAATTTCAATCATTTACGAATTTTTAAATACAAAATTATTATAAAGGAAAGTGTTAAATCGTATAGGAATTATTTAAATTGGATAAACCTGCCAAAAAAGGTAAGCGATTTCATGATGTTTATTGATTTATTTCCGGCCTTTGTCATATTGAATTTTATGCACGAATGGCCGATGCTAAGAAAATAATAAAAAACGAACAAACAAGGTAATATTCTTCGGGAAATAATTCTAACATAACGTTGGTTGCTATCAGAGGATAGTAAACTTTTTACAGCCTGAATGGCACAAACATTAGGTCTGAATGACCAAAAAATTGCCGTGAATCGGCGTCAGGAAGTTCCCGACAATTTGATGATTTCTTTTAAAAAACATTGTTCGGCAATATTTTAAATTTCTAGTTATAATTGCCAAAAAACGTACTTATTCAATTTCGGAACGGATGATTTCGTTTCGTGAACGTTAAAACTGTCTGACCCTTTATTTATTTATTGATTTTAGATTTGGGTCAATGGCAGACAAAGGAAAGGCCGAGGGCCATGTTAGTTTAGGCGGAAATGACGCACGCTCAAGTGCACATGTCCTACGCTTGGGCGGAAATGATTCATTAGTCAATACACAACGCGAGGGCGGAAGTAAACAGGAAAATAGATTGGAAAGTTTTTTGAAACGGGGAGAAGACATTTTAAATACTTTCTCTCAGTCCATCAAAGGTTTCGAGGTCCATGCAAAGCAAATGGAAGAACTTTCAAATACGGTCGGCGAAATTCAGACAGAATTGAATTTAAAAAGGAAAGAGCCAACGGCATCCACTTCGGGAACAAATGATCAAGTACCACTAAAAAAGAAAACAAGAACAGAAAATGTTTCATCAGAAGATGAGAGCGATACTGGGGATGAGCTAGAAAGAGTTTTAAATGATAATAGAGAAGATAGTTCAAAGGAGGACGAGGAGGATATGGTACAAGACATAGATTCATTTTTTGATGAAGAATCTACATGTGGGGACGATATAAAACATGTTGCACTAGCTGAAGCCATAAACAAAAGTTTGAGGTGCCAAAAAACTGACCAGGAAAAAATTAAACAACTCCTAGATAAATACAAAAGACCTGGCAATATAGACAATTTGCAAATACCACGGGTAGACAATTTTCTGTGGGAGCAGCTGAAAGGGCATACAAAATCCCAAGATGTCCACAAGCAAAAAATGCTTGGGGTGCTGAACCAATCAATGGTGCCCCTGCTTCGGGCAATGGATCACATAGTTGGGAATAAAGCGCCAGACAGCAACACATTAAAAACGTATATCAGTGATGCAGTTAAGATCATGACGGGAGAGGTTAATAAAACTAACCAACAAAGAAGAGAAGCCATCAAAAAAGAAGTTTTCCCCAGATTTAAATCTCTTTGCACAGATGATCAACCGATATCAGCCACAGGGTTATTTGGTGATAATTTGGCTGATAAAAGTAAAAATCTGGATGCATCTAAATCAGTACAGATGACCCCTAAAGGATCAAATAAGAAGAATTTTTTATTCAAACGAGGGGGGGAAAGACCATCAGATCAAAGGCCACAGACACAGAACCGATTCCCTCCCTCTCATCCACAGTCAACATCACACAGTCACTGGAAACAGCCAGTAACAAAATACAGAAATTCAGAAAAGAGCTTCGGGAATTTCAAGAAACCAAGGACATATCCCCCAGGCCAAAAGAAAAGAACAATGTAAATCAGCATGTAAGTATTGGTAATCAATCTTACTGTTTAATAAATACTATAGACAACTTCATAGCTGGTAAAACTAAAAACTATCTTTCTGAATGGGAAAAATTAACAAGTGATAAATGGATTTTACAAACTATTACTGGATACCATGTAGAACTTGATACAGAACCATTTCAAACTTTTGTGCCTAACCAAATAAAATTCAGTTCGGTAGATAATAATAAAATAGAAAAAGAACTTATTCGGTTTTTAGATTGTGGTATAATTCAGAAAGTTAATTCTCTACAAGATTCAAATGAGTTTATCTCAAACATTTTCATAAGACCAAAGAAAAGAGGGAAGATAAGAGTTATCCTAAACTTAAAAGTATTTAACAATCACATAGAGCATATTCATTTTAAGATGGAAACTTTACACAATGCAATAAACTTAATGCGGAAAGACTGTTTCTTTGGTTCTGTGGATTTATCAGAAAGTTATTACTCTATTCCAATAGTAGCAGAAGATAGAAGATACTTTAGATTTTATTACAATGGCCAAAAATATGAATTTCAAGCATTAGTCATGGGTCTAACTACAGCACCCCGGGTGTTTACAAAAGTTTTAAAGCCAGTTTTTGCGTCATTGAGAGAAAAGGGGCACATAAGTACAGCATATATAGATGACTCATGTTTACAAGGTCAATCGTTTGAAGAGTGTCAAAATAATATTTTAGAAACAGTCAGCTTGATGGATAGTTTAGGACTAACAATCAATCCAACGAAATCGGTTTTAATGCCAACTCAGCAAATTTCATTTGTAGGATTTATTCTCTGTTCCAAAACAATGACAATAAGACCAACTCAGGAAAAACTTTTAAATATCATTCAAATATGCCGAGATATTAAATCATCTAAATTTGTGACCATCAGAGAATTTGCAAAATTAATAGGTATGCTTGTAGCATGTGAGCCTGGTGTTCGATATGCGCCTTTATTTTATAGACCTTTAGAACACATTAAGGAAACTAATCTTAATTGGAAAAGAGGAAATTACAATGCTTTTATGAAAATAACTCACGAAATTCAAAATCAAATTGATTGGTGGATAAAAAATTTAGGAACAACTTTCAAACCAGTCTCTGAAGGAAATCCAGACTGTACAATAGCATGTGATAGCAGCTTGCAAGGCTGGGGCGCGGAAATAATATCTGAAAAATCCTTCACTCAGGGAGTTTGGTCAATTGAAGAACAAGCTTTACACATTAATGTTTTAGAATTAAAAGCAAGTAAACTAGCAGTGATGGCATTAGCCAAAAACAAGTCAAACATTCATTTAAGGATTTTAAGTGACAATACGACAACTTGTGCTTACATCAATAAGTTTGGGGGCAAAATAAAGCAATTGAACGAAATTGCAAGAGAACTCTGGTTTTGGGCCATTTCTAAGCAAATCCACATAAGTGCGGCTCATATTCCGGGTAGCAAAAATATAGAAGCAGATACATTATCTAGAAAATATAAAGATGACCTAGAGTGGTCTCTTGAAGAATATATCTTTTCTAAACTTATAAGTTTTTATGGAAATATGCACATTGATATGTTTGCATCACGGCTGAATGCCAAACTAAAATATTATATTTCAAGATATCCAGAACATGGGGCTTATGCTGTTGATGCTTTCAGTTTAAACTGGAATACTGGAACTTTACTTTACATGTTTCCTCCTTTCAGTCTCATTCCAAAGATCTTACAGAAGGTAGAGACAGACAGGGCAGAGGCTCTCTTAGTGGCACCAATATGGAAAACGCAGAATTGGTGGCCTTATCTACAAAAAATGTTGTGCCAGAATTGGCTAATACTTCCTCCGGCCAGAAAAATCTTGCGACTTCAGCACAAACCGGAGCACAAACATCCGCTGAAACATCTGAGACTAGGTGTTTTTCGTATATCAGGGACGCATTACGAAAGCAAAACATCGTGGACGAGTCAGCAAATATCATAATGTCATCATGGCGCAAATCTACCAAAAAGATATATGCTGTTTATATTAACCGCTGGATTAAGTTTACTGATAAAAATAATTTTAATCCACTGGCGCCTAAACCTGCTAATGTGATAACATTTTTAACCTCTATGTATAATTCAGGTCTGGGATACAGTGCCATTAATACAGCGAGATCAGCTATTAATCAGTTAGTTCACATGTGTTCGGGACTGGATTTTAAGTGTTGTACTGTAATAAATAAATTTATGAAGGGTGTGTTTGAATTAAGACCTGCTTTACCAAAATATAACCATATATGGGATGTTCAGTCAGTGCTAGATTTTATTAAACAGTTACCATCAGAGTTGACATTGATGACATTAACAGGAAAATTGGCAGTATTGTTTTTATTACTAACAGCACAACGCTGCCAAACATTACATTTAATTTGTTTAGAAGATATCATATTTGTAGATAATAAAATGATCATTAAACTTAACCATATGTTAAAACAGTCTAAGCCAGGCAGACACCCCGCACCATTACATCTAAACGAATATTCAGCAGACCAAAGGTTGTGCATAGTGACAGTATTCAAGGAATATATTGAGAGGACGAAAAGTCTAAGAATGAATAATAAACTTTTGATTGGGACACAAAAACCCCACAAATCTGTAACTAAGTCAACTGTTGCTAGGTGGATAAGAATGTTTTTGAATAAGGCTGGGGTACTAGAGCATTATACTCCCCATAGTATAAGGACAGCAGCAGCAAGTTCTGCAAACTCTAGAGGCATTCCTCTTTCTTGTATACTTAAAACTGCGGGCTGGCAACATGCTAGAACATTTAATAAATTTTATAATAAACAGATTGTGGAAGATCATACTATGCAAATGTGCTTACTGGATTAGTAAATTGTCATAATTTTAAAATGTGCTTTGCCTTGTATTCAGTGTTATACTTTACATGTACATGATTTCAAAAAATTATTATTTCAAATACAAGTATAACACCATATGGAAGTTATTTGTCAAATCATTTATTTTACAAAAACTTGAAGCTTTGACAGAGAAATATCTCTAAAATCTCTGTGGGGCCCTATCAGGAGTTATGCAGTCAATAAAATTGAATGATTAAACAAGACTTACCGACGAAGGAGGGAAGTTGAAGTTTGATCTGGATTTTATTGACTGCAAACTCCTGAAGGGCTCACACACCCACCCACCCATACCCAAATTTGGATTTCTCTGTACACGCGCTTTTTCATGTCTAGTTTTGTTTTATGGAAACAAAACTAGACACTAGGACTCTAAAGACTGAATCTGCATAAGTAATGAGCTACGTCATCTCTGTGTGAGCCCTTCAGGAGTTTGCAGTCAATAAAATCCAGATCAAACTTCAACTTCCCTCCTTCGTCGGTAAGTCTTGTTTAATCATTCAATTATAATTTAACTAGAGACTAAAATCTTTATGCATACATAAATTGTATGTTCCCACTTATATGACAATTCTAAATTAAAATGTTTTTTTGTTTTTTAAGCACCACCAAAACCTTAAAATATACATTACAACATAGCTATGGTCAACATCAACTAAAACTTAAAGCACTCTGTAATTTGAAAAAATCTGAAACAATCAGAAATGAATGAAATAAATATTTAACCCAAACATGAAAATCATTTTAATGAGGGTATGTATAACCTATAATTATGTTTGTTTGAAACTACACATTTGATGAAAGGTAAAAATGTTAGATGGAAACTCAAATATATGCAATACATTATTTGGCACATAGCATTTTAACAATAATGATTTATTTACTACAGTATGGTAAGTAATATGAGAGGAACACATGACAACATTGGCACAAGCTAAAAAAATATTAAAAACCAATACTAGTTTTGGGTATCCACTACCCTTTTTCAAGCTAATAATAATTTAGGATTTGAAAAATTATACTTGCTGTGAATTCTAATGCTACCATTGTTTAAAAAGATTACAAACAAATCAAATAGCTGCATATATTTTGCGTTTTAATGCTATTGTTTTAATCATTAGAAATAAGAAATAAATTATTGCTTATAACTTTTTAAGTATTGTTTGAAAAAAAAGCTGCAAGTTTTTGAGCAATTGTATTAATAAAGTTTCTTTATATTTTTATGCTATCGTTTTTTAAGGTTACTAAATATATTAATAACAAGAGCTGTCCGTAAGACAGCGCGCTCGACTTTTTTATTGCTTGCCAATAAAAAAAGTTTTTGCAGTAAAAGGCAATACAAGAATCTCTGTATTTTTAAAGTGAACTAGTTGTTTGATACCCTTGAATATTACAGCAATGTTTATATGACATAATTTATGGTAAAGTGAACAAGTGGATAGGAATGAATTTTTTTAGATTTTTTAAGTTTTTTAGTGCTTGCCTATAATACAAAACATTGACAGTTAAGGGCCATAATTCAAATAAAATCTTTGACAGAATTACCTTCTCCTGGACATGTTTGGGAATCATGATTGTAAACAAGTATTCCAACTTTCAAATTAATATCTCAAACAGTTCAGTCAAAAAGTGGACTGGTACTAAAAACTTAACCAAGATTCTAAGTCGATAAAAGGCCTTAATTTTTAAAACAAATCCTTGACAGAGTTACCTTCTCTTGCGTACAGATGGGGGTAATGAATGTGAAATAGCATTAAAAGTTTCAAAGCAATATCTCAAAGGGTTAAGGCAATAAGTGGATTTTACCCATATTCAATGTATTTTCTAAGTCAAAAAGGGGCATAATTCTGTCAAAAAAACCTTGACAGAGTTATTCCTCTTGTCTGTTGATGAAGGTCGTGATGGTAAACAAGTATGGTCAGTTTCAAAGCAATACCTCCAATGGTTTTGAAATAAAGTGAGGTGGTACAAAAAACTTAACCAAGCTCAATACACTTTCTAAGTCAAAAAAGGGCCATAATTCTGTCAAAAACCTTGACAGAGTTATGTACTCTTGTCTGTAGATGGAGGTTATGATGGTGAACAAGTATGGTAAGTTTCAAAGCCATACTTGTAATACTTCTGAAATAAAGTGGGGTGGTACGAAAAACTTAACCAAGGTGTGACGCCAACGCCGACGCCAACGCCGACGCCGACGCCGGGGCGAGTAGGATAGCTCCCCTTTTCATAGAAAAGTCGAGCTAAAAAGGTCTTCTAATGCTACCTTTCTTTTAAAAGATGAACAATAAATAAATAAGCTTTATGTTTCAATGCTACTGTTTCTAATACAAATAAAAACAAAACTGCAGAACTTCTTTATTTTGTATGTTCTTCTTTTACTTTAAGAAATGAGATATTTTACAGTAATATTTTATAGGACATAAAAATTTAAAGTTTACATAAATTGGATACATTAAGTTCTTCTAACAAAATCCAACTTGTTTTTTTCATTTATAATTGATATGACAAACGTTAGAATTCACAGTAATGGGCATAACTTGCAATCATGGCCGAGTCACCATTTCACAATACATGATTACTGGTGTTGTAAAGACAATCAAAGCCTTTTTGGCCTGGCACTCTCCAATTTTGCTAATGATGGGAGAACCACCTTTGCTGGAAAAATGCCCATCTTGATCTTTAACCACCTTTCCTGAATCCATCTATTGGTTGCCATACTT